GCAATTTACTTTTTTTTGCAGAGAAATTGCAGAAATCCCCAAAATACACTAAAACACACATGTATTTTTATTTTTTTTGTTCTGATAGGTAAATGAAGCTGCTGGTATGTCTGCAGGTAACGAAACAGTGAAGAGAGCAGGAATATTAAACATTAGGAGAGACAGAAAATCAGTAAAATCAAAAACAAGAGTGGAAGACCAACAGAATAAAACTCAAAACAAAAAAGATTAGCCAAGAATGTTTCAAAAGAACTTAGAGAAGGAAAAACATATGAAACAGAATTACGTAATGATACTATTTTTTTATATAGTTTGCATTAATATGAAAAATAAAATTATTATGTGATTGGCAATAAGACGAGAGTGAATACACTGAAATGTCTATCAATTGAATTTAATTGATGACAGCAAAAAGTTCAGTTTCAACATAGGACTACTGACAGCCAACATATATACATGTCCAACTATTTGTACATGTATATATAAAGCCACCTGATGAGTACCCTTGGCAGGGACGAAACAGTTTGTAATTGTCAAATTTAAAATTTATTTTTTAACTGACAATATATTTCTCACACAAATGTAAAGCATTTATGTAATGTAATGGTATGTATGAAATAAACATATTAGAAGCAGATACAAAATCGAACTAAATCTTTAACCGATAAATGCTGATAAAGATAGATGGGGGGTCTAAATCAAATTCCATAGTATTTTTTAATATTTTGTCAATTTAATGTAGTTTCTATCATGTTTTTCTAAAATATAAAAAGTGGGTCACCAATTTTTTTACCAGTACAAGTTGTGTAAATTTGTCCAATTTTGTATAGATTATGCATGGAAAATCCAATTTTGTGTAATAAAAATAAAACTGCACCATAGAATTTTAAGATGAGATAAGATCACTCTTCATTTTAATGATATGCTTTATGATAAGCAAAGTTTGAAAAAAAGATATCAAAGAAAATATTATGGTTTTTTTTTGTAAAATACAGCCATAAAATATAAAACACATATATAATTATTTCCTCTTTCGTATACCGCTATATGTATTTCTGATGAATCAGAAACTCAAATTTTTTACATGTATTAAAATTTTACTATACATTGTAGCATCAGAAGAAATACCAGAGCCATTGAATATCAGAATAGAAGGTGACATGAGATCATCCCCTCTAGTTGTGTTTGATCTGGAAACTACAAGTCTTAGTATGTACTGTACAGTTTGTTTGTCTATACAATTTTATATTATTAGTAAATATAACAACATTATATGTTTCATTGTTTGTATTTTTAAAATACAGTATTCATGTACATGTACAGGCTTAAAAATAATACTTCACTTTCAATAATCAGGAGTAAGACAATACCATTTTCTGTGTTGCTGTGCCTTGATATGATTATTACAGGTAGTGCTTATGTACAACAAGAGTGCACATGCTGAAATGTCTCGCCTTCTTTACTAACCATTGATTTTATGTTGATAGTCCTAAATATAAAGCTTTACTACAAGTAACACATAAACTTCACATGATCCTAGAAAATGAGGTCAAGGTCAGATAAACCAAACGAGAAATACATGTACACCTTACAATCATTCAATAAACCAAACATACTAGTAGTTGACCTATTTCTTATAGTTTCTAAGAAAAAGTCTTAACCAAGAAAACTTAATATTGACCAATGAACCATGAAAATGTGGTCAAGGTCAGATGAACCTTGCTAGACAGACATGTACACCTTACAATCAATTTATGCATTAAATATAGTTGACCTATTACTTATAGTATCTAAGAAACAAACTTAACCATGAAAACTAAACATTAACCAATGAACCATGAAAATGAGGTCAAGGTCAGATGATACTTGCCAGACAGACATATACACCTTACAATCCTTCCATACAACAAATATAGTTGATCTATTGCTTACAGTTGAAAAAAACCCAGACCAAAGCACAATAAAATGCTCCGCTGGGCGCAGCTTGATAAGACCGCAGAGGTCGAACCCAGAACAGTTGGGGCAAGTATTGACCTCAATATGAACCAATTTGATAGCGGGGCCCACAAATAAAAAATCTAAATACATGGTTAGATTCCGCATATCAAAGAACCCCATATATTCAATTTTTGTTAAAATCAAACTAAGTTTAATTTTGGACTCTCGCAGTGATGTTAAGGCAATTTCGATTAGATTTGGTCAGGGGCAGATAACCCCGCAGGTACCTCATTATGTTTTCATATATTCATTAATGGCGGAGAGTACCTAAGCTGCGTCTATCGATAAAACTGTATGAAATCAAATTACATACATGCCTGTTAATTGAAAACAGGTATCCATATGGTGTAATTTGTTTACTGAAACACGAATATTGTATGTTTGTGCTTTAATTATTATGGTAAACGGTTGCAATAGCTGTTTTTTGTGCCGAGATTGTCGGCTTGTGGACACCGCCTCCTTTTGATGATCAACCAATCAGTAGACGATCGCCGTCGAACAGATGTTTGTAGTTTGCAGAATGGAAAGCACCTTGCAGCGGAAATTATTTTCACTTCTACGTGAAAATCTAGCCAAAAAAGTAAGTGTAAGCCACCAAATATGTAAAATTTATGAAACATACGTTGCTTGTTTTGTTAATCATTCGCTTCAGAAGGCGAAAAAACGGCACAGTATTAGATAAAACGAGTTCAGTGTTGGCAAGCATGTTAGTATTTTGTTACACACGTGGTCAAAACGAAACTAGACTGCAAAAAATATCTGAAATTTGAATAATTTATCGAGTCCCGTCAGTAAATGAACAGAATATCGAATGAAACAAGTTCCCTGCATTATACCAAGAGCACATTCTCAACATTTACCCTGAAATTCATTTCTAATTTACGTTTTGCAGGTTTCCTGGTTGGGTACATCTGTAAATTATAACAAAGTTTGCTCCACCGTTGACTTCCGTCCGGAGCCCACGTTGCTGGAGCCATGATCCCTACCTTCAAATTATGGAGCCCTTAATTTGAAGCTTAGGGCACAAAAACTTGCTCAAAGGAACCCTGAACACGTTATTTAGAGCTCGGTCACATATGGTGTAACCCCCCCCCCCCCCCCCCCCCCCCCCCCTCCAAAAAAAAAAACCAACCAACCAACCAAACCAATTCAAATGTGAAGTCCATAGTATAATATTTTCTGCCGAATGCTGATGGTATATTTCAACTTTGAATTTATAGATCCCTACTTGGAAGTTTACAGCGTTAACGCCACCCCCTCCCCGATATCGGAAACATTAAAAACAGCCTATTATTAAGACTTATCGTGGACCGTGCGTCTTTCTCTGGAAAATGCCTGCACCTTGAATAAGTTATTTTTGAACCAGTATTTTTTAAATCCAGAACCAAGTCAGCAATTATAATGACCAATTGCAAGTTTATATACTTGTTGGTTATAAAATACATGAACATGATAGTCCAAATAATATTATTTTTCTTGAAAGGCTTTGTTAATGATTTACTGTGACACTTCATATGACCGTCATTCTAAGGAAGGAATCCCAGCAAAAAATTAAGGAAGCCTCTCATGACACAATAATAATAGACTTATTAATATCATGACTGCCCACGTTGACATATTCTTTTTAGATATGGTTATCATCAGTATTAAAATGAAAAAGAGCACTGCTTGCATGCTGATGATGTCTTGCGTCACAGTACCCAAATTGCACCTATTTAGCAAATCTTACAAGTTTTCTAAGGCACTAAACAATTTGTATTTTTTTAAAGTATTTGACATTATGCACGTTTTTCTAATACAGGTAGGTAAATATATTTAAATATTCACAAAACGTTTACAGTATATATATATCAACAGATGAAGTATTCACTTGAAAAGTAAAATCTACGGAAACATTAGCATGCGATGTCCACAAAAAGTCATCTTTTAAAAATGAGCAAACATGGCAAATAGAATATGTTATGCCATACGAGTATTAATTTCTTAAAAATTGAATAGCAAGCATGGACTTAAATGTCAAATTGTTCTAAATATTATAAGAAATAAAACAAAACATCTGTTATTCGAATTTCAAGGATAGGAATTAAAGCATGGATGCATTTTGGGTACTCCTCATTACAGAATCATGGATTGTTTGGAGGTCGGTTTAAACCCATTTTTCTATGATTCAATATGGATTCAAAATTAAATTGGTGGAACTAAATAGTAAATAAGGATACATCTACAAAATAAACACAGAATGGAAACTTTTGTCTGGATCTTAAAAAAATGTATGTGAAAAAACTGTCAAAATAGGTGCAATTTGGGTACCCTCGGCTTATGTTATATACAGTTACAACAGACATTGACAAGGCAGTAAATTATTGTACTATAAATTCAGAAGAATTGCGATTAATCCGATGAATATCGCAATTATAATTAACCTCACATTTTTATACGCCCGTTTACGGGGCGTATTATGGTATACCGTTGTCCGTCTGTCCGTCAGTCATCAACATGTCGGACATTAACTCAAAAATGCTTTAACAAATTTTCATGAAACTTTGGTGAAATGTAACATAAGCTCCCACACAATTTTTATATATTTAAGATTTTACTTTTTCGAGTTATGGGATTTTATTCTTAAAAATTATTCATGATTTGTGCCTCTGTGTGCTGGTGTGTGCATGTTTTTTTGTGTGCTTTTTTTTTTTTTGGGGGGGGGGGGGCTATTTTGAGCAGTATTTCTAGTTAATCATAAAGACGAGCTAAAGGACAACAGGCATATCATGTGCTCATGGCGCAGCTCTTTATTTTAAATATGATGAAGCAATTCTTCTAGAAATCAAAGAAAAAATGGGCATTATTTCTATGAAGGAAATATGAAGGAAATCCAGATATCAATTCGGGGTTGGGTGGCAGACGTAATTTCTTTATTTGATATGTTATATTTATTTATGTATCGTGTTACGTTATGATAATGATGATTCATTGTAATTAATCTGCTCCTTATTTTAAAAAAAGCATCTGTATTTGTATTAAAAAAATTACTTTCTCTTATTTTTAGCTGACCTGTCAAATATAAGAAACAGAATGCTATTCCAGCTTTGATGAACTATAAAGTAATGGTTTGAATTTGAAAAGCTTTATTATTAGACAGGTAAATTGTTGTATTTTTTCTTTTTGCTGGCTATTAAAACTGGTTATCCCTTGTTTTGGTATATCAAATCAATCTGCACTAAAATCTTTTCCTACTACTAGTTAGAAGACCAAATCTATTAATATAAAGATAAGAAGATGTGGTATGACTGCAATGAGAAAACTATCCAACAGAGACCAAATGATGTAGATGAAAGCATCTATATATAGGTTGCTTTGCTGTCTTCAACAACAGTGGTGTCACAGTACAACATAAGAACAAACTGTAAAAGTTATTGAAATAGGCTTGACAATTAACCTGTCAGATCAACACGTAATAAAAAGTCATGTTGCACAAAAAAAAGGCACAAAGTACTTGCAGTTACTGAAAGCTAGTTCAACGCTAATTACAACTTATAGAAAGGGCAAGTTTCTAAGACAAAAAGAATCGGTACACATTAATAATCCCATAATTAAATATTACCAACCATTTTACTATATAAATACAGGTGTTCAGATAATGACTGAAGCGATAAAGCTATATTATATATATAGTAATATGTATATATATATATATATATTCTACTGGTATCCTGCTTCTGTTGCTTGGAGTTGGAAACAGTTATGTCATCAAATTACTAAAAAAATCTATTTTACAGCTCAATTTTGTGTCCTCTTTACAGTCCACATTAAAGCAAATGTTACGAACAAAATGACGAATAGGAGGAAAAGCTATGCAAGCCTTGCTTTTCTTCCTCTTTTATAATTTGTGCAAATAAATTTCTGTTGCCGTACAATGTAAGAATATTGTATGGTGTAAATTCAGAAATTATTGCAATTTTTTTTAAGGCAACTTTGTGAGTATCGAAATAATAAGAAGTCACATTCTGATATCCAATACATATAACTGTAACTGTATTTTTCTGAAATCACAATAATTAATCTTGCATTTTTGTCCATTCTTCAAAAATGGCAATAATAAATGCACACAATAATTTCTGAATTTAATAACGTACATGTATCTTTACCAACAATAAACTTTATTAGGGCCCCGCCGAATGGCTGGTCGCCCTATAGTGATCAGTCTGTCCATCGGTCATGTGTCGGTCCATACGTAACAAATTGTGTCCGCTCTATATCTAGAGAACCGTTATGATTTCATACTTTATACTTGACATGTATATTAACCAACACCAGAGGGTGTGTCATAATTTTTGTACAACTTCCTAGGTCAAAGGTCAAGGTAAAAAACTTTGGTTTCAGATGACAACCACATGTCCTATGGTAAAGATACAAATTTTTTACCACACGTTATTCACAGCGGGGCCCACAGAGATAGCTCCCATCTCAATGATGTCTAGTTTACACAGATATTATTAAAAAATGTACTAAGCTTGATTGCTAAAAGTTCTTAGCTGTGGTTTTAGTGCATTACTTATATTGATATTGCAGTATAGCACCCTGCCTTATTCATGTCATAATTTACATTTGGGAAAGGAGATACAATTCAATGTAGTTAAACATAATATGGGTATTATGTTTTTCGGTCTGTGCATCCGGTCTTTCGTCCGTCAGTCTGTCACGCTTCAGGTTTAAGTTTTTGGTCAAGGTAGTTTTTGCTGAAGTTGAAGTCCAATCAACTTGAAACTCAGTACACATGTTCCCTATGATATGATCTTTCTTATTTGAATGCCAAATGAAAGTTTTGACCCCAATTTCACAAACATAGAAAATAATAGTGCGAGTGGGGCATCCATGTACTATGGACACATTCTTGTTTAATTTATTACATAATACATCTAATAGGCTGCCTATAAGATGTATTATGTGTTAAATTTTAAAATTAAATAAAAGTAGTGCACCTTATTAAAATGTGTACGACTAATGAGGAAATTAAATTCTTGTTCAAATGTTGAATGAACTTTAATGAAGACATTATTAAATTTAGGACATGTAGGACAGGGGAATTATTTTGTTAGCATTTTCACAGTAACTTGTTGAAGTTGAACTTTTGATCACTTTTCCCATGTTAAAAATTTCATTTAATATAATTATCATATATATATGCATTTTCATATTTCAGGGATGATGACCTGCAGTGAGACAGCAGTAGAAAGTTACATGTAACTGACATCATGACCATTATGGAAGATCAGATCAGATGAAAATTATGTTTAGAAAGCCACCAAATATGTCTATGAAAAGTAGAAAAAAGACAGCAATTCTATGTAAAGTACTTAGCAGAAGCATTGGCTGTTTCAATACCAATGTCAGAGTTGGAATTTAGTGTTTTAATGCTGAGAGATAGAGGAACATTAACTGGACAATTTAGCTTCTTTTTCATGTGTCATTGAAGTTTATGTTTACCATCTTAAAAAGCTTTTACCACAGTTAAAATGAATTCTAAATACCATGAATACAGGCAGTTTGGAGATTTGTGAATTTTCTTACAATTGGAGTTTCAAAATGGATTTCATTTAAAAAAATTATTTATTTCATGGATGAAATTTGTCGTGTCTTTCATGAAATATTTGAAAAATCAGCAATATATTTTTAGCAATACCTAACCAAATGAGAGATCTACAGATAGACATATGAATTTCAGTTGAACTGTGAGGAAGGAAATATTCATTAATAAGACTTATATAAGTGTTTTGTTATTTTTATGGCAATTACGGGAAAGATGAAGCAATTCGATTTAAACATGACTCATTCCTACAGATATACATGAGATATAGGCAGACAATTTACTGATGCACCACTAATGGATATACATGTAATTATAAAACTAAGAAGATGTGGTACGATTGCCAATGAAACAACTCTCCACCAGATAACAAATAGTCATATTTTATAACGACTTACATTTCAATTTCATTTCATAACACAGCATACAGGTATACAAAAAGTTCAAACGCATAGAAAAGGTGTTTTTATTGCAATTGTTGTTGTTCATCTTATGGTCACATTGAGGTGGGCCTTCAATACTGAGCAAGACCACTGGAACAGCCACAGAATGTTTAAAAAAAGAAATCTGGAAATTTTCTTTGCTTGTATATATATCATGTAGCTGCCATTATGTACATGTACATACATGCATCTAGTTTTGTCTATATACTAGGAAATCAGAAAATTTTGCAATGTTTTCATTTCTTGTCTAAATTGAAATTGGTTATACGTTTTGCAAAAAGATCATGTAAATTTATTTAAATGATGGTATTATTTGTATCCAGCATTTTCTGAAACTGCAATAATTAATCTCGCATTTTTTGTTCTGGCATTGTTCAATAATTATAATTATCATGATTATCTTGATAATAAATTTACGCAAAAGTTTCTGAGTTTTCAATAGTTATCAGGTTATATCTTTTTGAAGGATACCTAACTTGGAAACTTGTGAAGGAATATTTTCATAGTTAATTAGAGATTCTTATATCTAGTCTGTTTAGCAAAATATGTTGGGTATACATGTATGGCCATTAGACAGCATCCCCAACACTGACAGAAATAGTTTTTTTCTAACTTTGAAATTGCGTACATGTTTGGTAATACAGCTAGAATTTAATATAAAATAAGAAGATGTGGTATAATTGCCAATGAAGTTTTGATTAACAATTACATGAATTAAGTCATTTTACTTTTTGTGATTAGGTCAGGTTAAGATTACCCACTGATTGTACCCTTGTCAATGATATTTGTAGGCAGTACTAGTATGTACCCCGGTAGTTTTATTAGCATTTACATATTTTCATTTCCATGCTGACTATTTTTCTCTGTCACCTATGTCATGATTCATTCACTTGAAACTTTTGGATTGTTTACATGTATATGTAAAAATTGTGATTCAGTCAGTCATTTCTGTATATTTATATTTTATTATATATATATATATATACCGGTACATAGAATTTTTTTAGTCCCCTACCGCACTCTGTTATCCATCCGTCAGTCCGGCAAATCAGTTTTCCACACTTTTTTTCTTCGTGCTTTCTGATATTGATTTGATATTTGGTATATTGTTTTATCATGACAAGTTACAGATCAAGTTCAAATTTTGTTCCGGTCTGATAATTTTGTGCAGAGTTATGGTCCTTGGACTTAGAAAATTCACTCAAATATTCAGTTTTCCGCAATTTTTTTCATCATGCTTGAAGATATTGATTTAATATTTGTTATATAGTTTACACCATGACAAGTTATAGATCAGGTTAGCATTTTGTTCCAGTACAATTAATTTTTAACCGGTAGGGGACTTGTGTATTGCTATGTATTGCCATGCAATACTCGGGGAATGCTTGTTTTATTTTGACAGAAAAAAAAATTTAATTACCATAGCTACCAATCAGTTGCTTCCAATTTCAGCAGGTCTTGGGAAATATGGTTTCTGATTTTAACATGTTTAACGATGAACCTTAAAATTATATGGCACTTTATCATGTAAAAACAATTGATTGCTTGTGTTGGATGTCAGTTAGCACTTCTGGCTATTTCTTCGGTGGCTGTCCATTTTTATTGTTGGCATTCGGGTAGGGAGAAACTTAACATGTGAATGAGCGGCTGAAAAAAATAGATCACTATTTGCAGCTTCATGGTATACTATAATGTTGAGAATTTAAGATGATATATATGACAAGGTTGCTGATTGAAGCATAGGTACATGTATCTGAAACTAATCCAATCTGGGTTTTTTTCACAGATGCGATTAAAATTAGTCGTAAATGCATTCGATATTTGTCTGTTAATCGCTCCATGATATAGTGCAAGCATAAAGCATGAGAGATAAAGGTATATTTTTAAGGATGGGTTACTCGATGTCTCGGCTGCTTATCCTTACCCCAAAAAGGTAGTAAGTGTTTATATTAAAAGTTACTCATTCTAGGAAAAGGGAATTGTTTCCCCCATGTTAATGCTGTTGTGTGCTTTTGAATATTCCAAACAAAAATAAGTAAGGAGGGCAGAATGATTTTACCAAGTAAAAAAGTTGAAATAAGAAAAATATTGCTTCAGATGGGATGAAAAGGAATCTTCTGTCCAACAAAATGCAGAAAATCATTAGGGACAAAATCAAAAAGTGCAAGCTGTACATAATACTGGCTTGGTAACTGCATGGTAGAAATGAATATTCAGAGGGAAAAAATCACAAGAAATTCAAAAAGACCTCCCAATCATGATTTACAAATTGATACCAGTTCTCACTTGAGACATTCAACAAGTAAAATCTGAATATTTATATGCAGGTAGGAAGTTTATATTTATAATTCATTTACACATTATCAATGACGAAGAGCAAACATAAATTTTTTTATTACAAGTGAATTCATGAATTTTGGTGAGTTCTTTGTGAAAATGCTACTTTTTTTTAATAATATGTTAATTATACATGTATAATGATTAACAATATATACAAATTTGATGGGTCCCAGTAAAGTGAGAAACGGAACAGAAACGAAACAGAGCGAAACGAAACGAAACATGGCGAAACGAAACGAAACACAGCGAAACATGTAAATTGAGAAACGAAACACAACGAAACGAAACAAAATCTGTATTTTGAGGAACGACCTATAGAAAATCTTCCTGACATAGCCAAAGATCAATGTGGGTTTAGAGGGCCCTTTTGATTGATGTCATCTAATCGTTTGCTTAAAAATCGTCAAAAAACAACATTGGTGGTATGTTTATCTTTTTGGACAATTATGCCTCCCCCTTTCCTTAAACTCTGGATCTGTCTCTACTTTTTTTTATATCTCGTTTAATCCAAAGAGAACGTGTGATTAACGGTTTATTCGAACACACATTACACACTGGGATTAACTTCACTGATTGCCGCACTAGAAAGAACGCATTACATACCAGTTCTATTGTGCTTTGTATTTTTCTATGCTTTATAGTCCCACACATTGTTATCATTAATAATATTATGATATATTAGTATGTATAACTTTTCATTCGATCACGTCTGTGAATATCATTGTATATGCAATAATCTGCAATAGGTTTTTATCATTTATTGTTTATGAGTTTGTGCCAAGAAAGTATTTGATTCATGAATGAAACACTTACATGTACGTATCCCAAGTGAAATAACCATAGCTAAAATATGTAAATGGTATGGACACTTTGCCATACATAACTTTAGGTAGTAGGATCCAAATGTCCAAGTTGGATGCATTCACCCTATATGTGGCTACACTGAACATTGTCAAGTCCGACCTGGGACGTCAAAGGGGGGGGGGGATTGACCACGTTGCGACCTGACGTCTCTTTTGAAAGTACATGTGACCTTTAAAATGTTTAAACCGAGAATCAAATCAGTTTAGAACCGAATAGTTTGCTTAAAAGTGACCTGGTGACCCGAGGCAGTTTTTAATCGTGACCTTGTGATCTAAAGTGGTACTGGAGCACAATCACCTTTCTCCTTTTATTCATACAACATTGTATGTTCGACTCGTCATGTTCTACTTTCTTTTTTAAACTTACGGTACCGAATATTGTGTTTTGTTATTCGCCATTTATCTTGACAGACACGTGTTACTATATGTATAGTATCTACCACATTTTCAAAAGATAAGCTACGAAGTACATACGGCATCTCCATACAGTTGAAGTCGATGGTACCTGTTGTAAGTAGTTTAAAAGGTTAATATGAATTGAACTTGTATTAAACGAGATTATGTTTTGTATGATTTGCAACAAAATGAAAGAAGAAGAATGTCATCATGGTCATGGACTGCCATAATAAAAAATCTTTGAAACTTAAAAACAAAGAAGAAACGAATACAAACTAGAAAATGTTATAGTGACGAATTAGAAATGGACATGTTGTGTAGATACCTATCTATTGTTGAAATTATACTATATGTTGCCTTCTAGATGTCCTTAGTTTGTTCTTGTCGTTTGGTTGCTGTCTTATTGACGTGTAACCTACATTTCATACAGTTTTAGTTCCGTTGAGTGTACTTTAGAATCGGTGCATGAAAAATCATAACTAAACTGGTTATTGTGTATAGATTAATTGTCTTTCATTCCCTCAATAATTCTAGGAAGATGAACCAAAGAGAGATGTACACAGACACTTGTTTCTATTAATATATAATACATATGAATAGTCGACCTTCCCATGTGGAGATGTACCTAAATTAAAAATATTAATATGTAAACAGAAAATAATGTTACACTTTCAATCTTTAACTTCCCCTCCCTCCATTTATTTTACTGTATAAATTTTAAAGACATGTCGCTTCTAAACAAAATCCGATTGATCTGTAGCTTATCCCCCAAACCTGCTTTGATACAAACTTGAATATGTTCCTCATTCAATTCGATCCCAAAACTTAAAAGGCATACATATCTAAATAGTCGTAATTAATTCCATTGAGCACGAAACTATAATCAAAATCAGATTTTATTTATTTGGATATTCTAAAGTTCATTTCTTTTTCGGCAGAAATTACAAAAAAATTTATTATTATCTGGTTTGACTGGGAAACACTGATTTCAGATGTACATTGTACACAAAATATTATAAAATATTTTATGTCCCACCCTTTGAGTGAAAAACATATCATGTTTTAGCATAAAATCGTCTATTTTGGAGTGAAAAAAATTGGATGATTTAAATAAACCAGATGATTTTGATGGTCTGTTGG